CTATATCATATAATATATATTATTTGAATTACACCGAAATAACAATAGTTCATTAAATAATGAATTTATTACAAGAAATAAAAAAATAAAATCGATTTTTTTGAAAACTGGATAATTTGTGTATATCGATATCTTTTTTCCGCGGCTTATTTTGTTAGTTTTTTTAATCATATCTTAATAAAATATTGAACATTTTTTGCTTTTAATAATATTCGACTGTTTTTTGTTTTTGTACGTTTTTAGATGTTTACAGCATACAATGAAAACGTCGGAAAATACATTATACCTTATATAAAACAACTAAAATGCAGTCCTGATTTTATAATCGGTGTCACTGTTGAAGTATTTCCATCATGTATAAAGAATCCATGCAGTACGTTATAAATGTTTTATTTTGTATTAATTTATAAGTTATACATAATTTTACGCAGAAAATCATCGAGTTTTGTTAATTTGTATAAAATGTGAACACAACAAAATAGATGTCTGGAAAATGTTTTTTTCCCATCGATTAATATATTTTATAATTATATTAGACTATTAGAGTATATATATATTTAATTATTGTTGATAATACTTTTTCATTAAATTGAAATCATTAAAGTATAACAGGTATTCCAATACACTAAGGTAATTTGCTTTTTAACGAAGTGTCGATAATAAAGATAAAGATAAACCTAGATTTAACTTGAAAAATTATAAATTTTATTCATCAATTGTTTTAGATCATTTTTATAATTATTTAATGTTATTTAGGCAAACGACGAATTAATTATAATATCGTATTATAAAAAAGACATTTCTGTTGTAATCTAAAAATGAAAAATTATGTGTTTAATTTATTTTTATGCGTTAAATATATTCTAACACACAACTTTATATTTTATAAAAAGTATTAAATTTTGAAGAAATGAACGATTTAGTAACCTTTTATGAAATAGCAACGTTTAAAATGAATACATGTGAACCTAAAAAGTATAATGGCTTGTCTCCAATTACAAAAAGCAAACATGGCGCTAATTATCTCTATGGAATGGTAAAGATATTTAATGTCATTTGTTAATAATGACTGAGCCATTTGAGGTGTTTATGTGTAAGACGTATTGTTGCCATTTTTGAAATAATTGACTTTAAAATCAATACTCTTGTGAAAATAGCTGAAAATCTATTGCTATTGTAGTTATTATTTTACGTTAATTTGTCTAGTCTTACATATAAACAACTATTCTAATTCTTCATACAATTCTCAATTTAGTTTATATTCTATTTTATTTGTAGAAGGCTTTAATCTTTTTTACCCAAGTATTCTTTTCTATTGTCAACCATATTCTTTGGAGACCATTCTGATATTTTAATTGAAGCTTATGAATTTAAACAATTTATGTAATATTGTAATTTTAACTACTAAAAATATCTAGCAGAGTATAAATTAATAATTAAATTAAAAATATATCGTAGCAAAATGAAAATATAATAAATTAAGAGTTGTATGGTGTAAGTTAAGAAAGTTTAATTTATCATATCACTGTAAAAATTTTTAAAATTTTTTTATTGATAATTTTAGGAAGAAGTAGTATCTTATCTAAAGGAATCGAAAATATGTCTCACAAAACTCACCTTTGATATAGAAATGTACCCAGTTTACAATGATCAAACAAATTATTATTCTTATTCACAAGTATCGTATATAACAATATTTTAGGATAAATATTGATTATTTTATTATTTTAAATGTTTTAGGTGTGTAAAGGAAAATTTAACTGTTCAAATTCGTGTGTACAAACTACAAAAAATTTTTATGATAAGGTAAAATAATAATTTTTATCACCGAAAGTATAATTATACAAAATAATTATAAATATTTGAACAATAAATTATTGTTTTATTGTATAAGATATTATATGATTATTGATTACTATACATATCATATTATCATATATTATATACTGATTATGAGGCTCAAGTGTATCTCAAATATTATTTATAAATTTTTAAACACGTGTAAAATAAAACCTTACCATTATTTCAATGATTTATCTAACATTTTAAAATCAGTATTAAGCAAAGATTTTTTTTTTTATAAGAAAATGTATTAAACAAACAAAGAATATATTAAATTATTTTATCTATTGTTATGTATTGTTTTATATGATATAAATACAAATATTTTAAAAATAAAGTTGATTTGAGACAAAATTTCTAGAAAAAATATTTTGGTTGTAGTTTATCATAATTTACTATTTATAATAATGTGAAAACGTTTGTTTATTGATAAAGTTTCATTTGCGATTTAAAAAAATAGTTAATGTTACCGTCTTGAAATAAATTAGATAGAATCATTTATGCGAGAATTGTCTTGAAATTATATTTTACTACACAATTAACAAAATTATGTACTAGGTACCTACTTAAAACCTCATTATTTAGGAATAAGATTGTTATTATCAGAACTGACAGAATCGTATATTTTATGCTCTCCATAAATTAAATAATAGCTTAAATTTATAAGGATTATAATGGTAAATATATTATAGTGGCAAAAAGGCCCGAAGCTTAAAGTTCTACTAGAGTTTAACGTATTCAACTGCAGTATTAAATAATGATGCATAAAAAATTCACAATTCAAAATAAAATTGGCTTGTCATATTTGTTCGTAAAAAATTAAGGATAATCTAAGTTAACAAAATCTACAGTTTTTCTTCACAGATATTATTACATAATCTATCGATAATTAGCACCTTTTCCATGTTTTCGGACATAACCGTTGTACGTAAATATTAAACTAAAACCTTGAATATGTATTACGTTAAAGAGTAGACACAAAAACGAAGGAATTATACGTAGTTATAATACGTTTTTACTATCCTAATTGTATAAGGTTATTAAAAAATTAAGAACTCATTTTTTTTTTTTAATATACTTTATCATATTTTTTTTATGGTTTTACAGGGAAAATTTGTACGTGAACAAGAAAGTGGAATAATTGTTGCAGTTTTAGATTTCGATGATATAAAAAACGAATGTGGGTGTGATTCGCCGTTCATTGGATTCAAAAATATAATTGCTGGTTTCACTGGTGGTTCACAAACACCATGTTCGAAGTTTGATGTTCAATCAATTGAATATCCAATTAAATAACAAGTTATTTCAATAGTTGTTTTATAAATATCGAATTTTAACACAATTTCAAATTTTTTATACCAATTTCTTCCTAGCATTCAAAGGTTCAAAATATTTTTAAAATCAAAGAATTAAATTGGTAAAGAATATTTTACTGGGCCACTTAAACTTCAATTTTTTCTTGATTTAAAAGACAGCAGTAGTCATAGTTATGGTCATTATATTATATCACATCATAGTTTAAAATAAACTAGTATAACGAGTTCTAGATGGGTGTCTTTGCTTTGCAGTTCTAGAAAATTGTTATTAATGAACCCTATAATGACAAACAGTGGTGAAAATGAAATGTGTTAATTTCTATCTACACGAGTTAAATAAGATAATAGATGACATATTATTTTACCTACCTAATCAAAATAAAACAACATTGTTTGAATCTATCTAAAAATGTTTGTTGTATTTTAATACAAAAAATAATAAGATATGTAATTAATTTTGAAATAATAAATTCTCGGTAAAAAAAAATATCATTATAGCTCCCAAATCATAATAAAATTCGTATCAACTTTAAAAGTGTTTTGATGAAACATTATTATTTATTCCTTTTTTAGAAATACATATATTAATTACAATTTTAAATAAAATGGCATGATTTTTCGTGTGTATAAAATTAAGAATAATCTAAGGTAGCTTAACTTACTGGTCTGAATAAATGTTCTTCGTTGAAATTATCAAATTATGTTGACAATGAGCACATCTGCCACGATTTCAAAGCAAAGCAGTAAATACATTAATTTGAATTATAAAATTATTTTATGTATTATAATAAAAGGTAGGTATTGAAACTAACGTGTTACATGTAGTATAACTACGAATATATTATAATCTAAATTTTATATGATATTGTTTTATTTAAATAATATTTTTTTTATTAAAAACATGTAATTATATAGTTTAATGTTATTTGTCAGGGAAAATATGTACGTAAACTAAAAAAGTGGTATAATCTTCAAAATCATGGATGACAATGACATTAATAACGACTGTCGCTGTGATTTATCGTTTAATGTATTTCAAAACATAATTGGTAGTTACAATGGGTTTATATATGGACCATGTGATAAATTTGACGTAGAGTTAAATAATTGTTCATTAAAAAGAGCAGCTATAATGTTAACTATTAAATAAATATTAATTTTTAACAACATTTTAAATCGTTTTTTACCAATTTCCTACATTTTTTTTTTGGTGTGTTTAACAAACAGTTAAGGAGGATCTGTTTGATTAATATTACTCTTCCGCTGCCATTGTTTATTGGTGAATAACATTTTTACTTACATGCAATTTATAACACACAAATATATGTATAACACAAATCAGTAGTAAAAACAAAGGGCAGTTTGTAATTCTGTTCTAATGTTTTCTCGAGGAGTGCACAGCTTCGAGAAAATCGAGACATCGGCGAAATCCTACATCACATCCGTTTGATGCATCGAAATCCTCTGCAAAATATTATAGTTTTGAATAAGAAATCGAAAATATCGGTTGTATTTTTATAAAGAAAATAATAAGATATATAATGAATTTTAAAATAATACATTTCTGGTAAAAAAAAAATATCATTTTAGCTCCCAAATTATAATAAAAATGGTACAAAATTTAAAAGTGTTTTGATAAAACATTATTATTTATTACATTTTTTGATTAAATAATATTTGCGTTTAACTTATACCTAAATATTTATTTTTACTAAATTTGATAATTTATTATTACATTAAATAAATATTTTGTTATTACTTTAGATATAACATATATGAGAGTTATATTCAAAACATTTTGATTTTGTTTTTTTTGATAATATATAATACAATTCAACATTTACATAAAACAATTCATTTATGAATTTATTTTTTCAAAATCATTTTCAATGTAGTATTAGCAGTTTTCTAGTCTTGTAGCAAAGTATAATATATTTTGAAACAATGATTTTGTACTTTTTGTTTTTTTATTTACTCGGTGAGTCTGTGGCTTCAAGTTGTTCAAACCAATCAACAAGTACGTATTTTCTTTTACATACTTATAGCTATTATTTTGATTAATTTTTTCAAATTTCATCTGAACACAATAGCATCACGTCATAAATACTTTTTTTTTAGTATAGATACGTTTTCTTAATTTTAAGATGTAATCATAATGTTTTTAATATCATGTAAATTGTATTTCATAATCTAAATATATATTCTTGATTGCAACAAGAATAATTAAAATTTAAAATAGCATATTAAATTTTGTATCGTTGTAAACAAGTCAATTTTAATATTTTTTAAAAAATTTGAAAACTTTCATTGTATATTATTTTAAGTATATTACATATTTTATATGGAATTCTTGAAATTTCTATATATTTCAATCATACGGACAAATCAATATTATACTTTAGATAAAAATCATTAATCATAAAGTAGTATAAAAATTCCTCAAATACTCGAAAATATACTACATTTGTAGTATGTGTTACCAAAAGTTTGATAAACATTCATATTTAACAGTTTTTTATTTTTGAGGTACTGTAAAAAAAATTAATTTGATTTGATCTGTAATTGGTTTTACTTTCAATTTCTCTATTTTTTTTTTCATTTTTCGATAAGTATACAAAATTTTCATATGTCAGACCAAATCGCAAAAATTCATGAAAAATATATATTTTTAAATGACCAATATTACTATTGATCTATTGTGATAAACTAGTTTTTAAATTTAAATCATGACAATAAAATATGTAAAATATGGATACGTTCAAACACAATTTATAATCTCGATATTTACAATTCATACAAATATTTATGTAAATAATTTTTTTTATTATTTAGGTTCTAATTTTTCTAATAAAGTAATGTGCTATTTCAAAGGCCATATGGATGAAATTGATATTACTTTAATTGATTTAGATCCCAAAAAATTACCAAGTGAATGTGAGGTAATAATTTATTCTCGATTTAAAATCAACGAATTGTCAATAATAGATGTAGATGAAGGTAAACAAATTGTTTTAATACTTATTTTTATATGATTTATGATGAATATTGAGTAATTTAATATCTATTTATTTATGAACTTATTATGTAATATTAAAAAAATTGTAATAAAATTAAAAAAAAAAAATTTGTACTGTCAGTAATTTAGATAATTATTGTTTTATAAATTCTAAATAAATAATGTTATTATGTTGTTCTATAAATACTTAATAACTTCAAAACTCATCATTGGTACTAATGATTCGTATAAATATGTTTTAGAACTCCTCAAAAATGTGACAGATACAAATAAACCCGTAATCGTGAGACTTTTTCGAACAAATTTCTATGATGATTGGTCTAAAGTATTGAGTTCTAACGGTAATTCTAAAGAAGCCAAGATCTTATGTGATTTTGCAAAAAAAAATAAAATTAAAGGTTATCTCATAAAATCCATTGCTCCACATGAAACTACAGTATGTATTCAACGTGTTATTATTAATCAGGGACGTCCAAACATTTTTCGGCTGCGATCTACTTAAAATATACTTCACCTTTGAGGATTGTCTTCGATAAGAAATGTTTTATTATTATAATAAATTGAATACATTAACGCGTTATTATAAATCAGGACGCCCAAACATTTTCGGCTGTGATCTACTAATTTTTGTGTTTGTAGCCTAAAACTAATTCTAACACGATTGATTTTAAAATCATTTGCGATCGACCGGTTGATCGTAATCGACTGTTTGGCCACCTCTGTTATAAAATAATCATAATATAAATATAGTATTATTTATTGTTACACTTAAGATTTAATTAATTAAAAAGTAGTATAACGAATATTTATTTCAAACTCGTTACATTGACATAAATTTCACACTAACTGTGTATAGACAAATAGATTACAGAAACACAGAAAATAAATGAATATTTTATTTATTTTGTTCAGCTGTCGAGTTTTGAAAAGCAAAGTGAATACTGGAGAATAGCAGTCATCTTTTTATTTTTTAAGATGATAATTTTATTAAAATTGTCTTACAATAAATATAATAGCTTTCATTATAGTTACTTCATGATAAATGAATTGTTCAACTTTCATTCAAGTTATTTTGAACAGATTACATTTAAGTACAGAGTACCCCAGGCGATAGTATATTGGATAATATGACTACTGTTTAAACATAAGGTATAACAATGTTTATATTGCTTTAAAACATTGTATTGTGTTTGTTGTAGGACGCAGACTATTTAAAGGAATTTTGAAATTTTTTTTAAAAATTATATTGGACCAATGACACGATTTACTAGAGTGGTTCAACTAGTACGAATACTTAATGAATTACTGTTTAACTGGATAGGATAGATATAAATAATGACAATGACTTGTTTAAGTAACGAAGCCTTTTTTTTTCATCATTAAATTATGAAAATTGTAGTAAAGTAGTTTCACATTAAAACTTTTATTTTGTTATTTTGACATAAAAAATGAAATAATCTTTGATAAAATTATCCACTATGCTGCTATAATATAAGAGACAAGATAACTGAAGAAAACATTAACCAAAAAAAAAACTGGGAAGTCTATCTGAGTTAAAGTAGTTTTATAAAGTTCCAAGTAACTGAGTATTTAAATAGACTTTTCTAATTACAAATTTTGGATTTTGTGTACTATAGATGTTGAATGATAATGTATATGTTATAGTTTCGAAATAAATTTCAATATTACTATACAATAAATATTTTTTTGAATTACACAAAAACAAAATAAATGTTCATTTAAAAAGGAATATATTTGATTTTGTCGAAAACTAGAACAATGTCAATATTTATAGGTCCTAATCCGTTAGTCTTAATTAACTGAATTTTAATAATGTAATAGTCATTTACTACTTTCAATAGTATTTGATTTTTCTTATTTAGTTTTGTGTGTATTATAGGGTTATTTCGCATTTAATGAAAACATTGGAAAATATATTATACCTTACATAAAGCAATTAAAAGAATGCAATCTAATTATTGGTGTTACTATAAATACAGCTCCATCATTAATACAAAACCTTTGCGGTATGTTATATATGTTTTATTTTTACAGATTAATGGAGTTTAATAATATCGATTATTGAGCGGTGTTGATTTTTATTTAATGTGTAATGTGAATGTTCTATAGAGTAGATAATCAGAAGATACTTAAGCTTTATTTAATAATATTAAAATATTTTCATTTTTTATTGAGAATACTTTCTAATCAATCGAAAATTATTAAACTATACTTTATTTTTTTTTTTTTAATGTGTTGGTTATACATTTGGGGCATACATTTGAAAAATTACTATATATTTATTTTTGCTATTTATAATTATAAGTGTTTTTTACTTGGGAAATTTAACAATTTGTTAAAATATCATAATAATCAAGTTGTTCCACTAATAACTTAATAATTTAAAATAATGTGTTTGATGATTTTATAAAATTTGTATTTAATAACTATTAACTTTAATTTTTATATTTTTTTAAGTCTATAATTATGACGAATTGAATGGAATAGTTGATTTCTATGAGGTAGATACTTATTTTATGAATAAATGCAATCCAAATTTGTATAATGGAAGGACTCCAATTACAAAAAGTGAGCACGGTCCTAACTATTTATATGGAATGGTAAATACACTTGTTTTTATTTTCTAGAATTGAATTGTCACATACAAATTGAGTTTTTTTTGTGTAAAATATATTATTGCAATTTTTGTAAAATCTATGTCAGTACTATTTCGTATTGGGGAAAGAGCTGGTCATCGAAACTACCTATTATTATTTTCAACTTAAAGTATTTCCAACAAATATTAGGTTGAATGACAAATAATGACCTATACATTTTTTTCATTAACTAAACATAAAATTTTAAACAGAAATTCTTCAATCATTTACAGTGCAAATTAAAAATTTGGGTTAAAAGAACTCGTTATGTATTTCATATGTAATAACTAATGAGTTATGATGTGATGGATACTTTGGAAGTGTTCTTTTTTCAAGGTTAATATTTTTGTAATTAATTATTCAGTTTTTTATTCCCATATTTAAATTTAATGTTTAAAAATAAATTAAATGAATATAATAATTATTTAGAAATATATCGAACAAAATCTAAAATCATATATCATTATTTATAATTACAAAAATAACACTTGTTGGAATAGTTATATAGTAGTTATTGAGTCGTTAAGTGTAAGTCATAAAAATATAACTTGTAAGTTCTAACGTCACTATAAATTATTTAAATGTATTATTGTTTAATAATTTTAGGAGGAGGTGGCATCATATATAAAGAAATCGAAAATATCTCAAGATAAACTAGCTTTTGCTGTCGAATTGTATCCAGCTAACAACAATTCAACATATTTTTCTTCATATACACAAGTATTGTAGATTAAAATATTATAGGTAAATACAAATCTTAAATTTATTTTTTTACTGTCTTAGGTGTGTACAGGACAATTTGATAATTCATCTTGGTGTGTACAAACATCTAGAAATCTTTACGATAAGGTAATTAATACTTAATTTAATTAAAACTTATTGTACACATTTAAAAATATATAAATATGATAAATTACTTTTTTATTGTTTAATCTTATGTACAAGATTTATGGTCTTTAGAAAATATTTTACTATACAATAAATAATATTAAAAATTACTCATCTTCTTTTTCTTTCAATGCTTAAAATTTTTTAAACTATTTTTACTCTTCATAATTTTGGTATAGTTATAGGCAATATGGTGAAATATATCAGTGTCCTGAACTCTAATGTTCAATCAGGTTCAACTTTATTGAATCGAAATAATTGTATAGATATACATAAAATATTTACAATTTAAAATAAAAATCACCTGTCATCTAAGATAGCCTTACATTCCCTCTCTGAATTAATGTTTTTCGCATAAATCATTAAATTATTTCGAGAATGAGCAAATTCGTCACGATTTCGAAGTAAAGTAATTATATGCAAATTTGAATTATTATAAATTATTTTATGTATAAAAGGTAGGAACTGAAAGGAACGTATTAAACGTAGTATAACTACGAATATATTAAAACCTAAATTTTATATTATATTGTTTTGTTTAAAAATATGTTATTTTATCATTTCATGTTGTTTTAGGGAAAATTTGTACGTAAACTAAACGGTGGTATTCTTATCGAGTATCTGGAGTTTGATGACATTAACAACGACTGCGGTTGTAATTCAACGTTTAATGGATTTAAAAACATAATTGGTGGCTTCAAAAGTGGTCAACTATCACCATGTCAGAATTTTGACGTTCAATCAACTTCATATACACTTAAATAACCAGCTGTTAACTCATTAACTGTTAGAGTAATATAAAAGTTTATTCAAATTTTAAATCGTTTTTATCGTGTTTCTAATTTTCTCTACACCAAAATTCAATTTTTTTTTAATCTCATAGACACACGGAAAAAAAAAATTTGGTTATAGTAAATAGTTAGATAGTTTCTAGTTGGTGTAATAAATAATTTAGTTGTGTCAAACAATATGTTTAGTTAAAAATACTAAAATGAATTAGTTGAACAATTATAGTCAAACCAACTTGCTTTATAGTTATTGCAACTATATAAACTAGTAATTCAAATATAACCATATGAAATGGTTGGTGTACAAATATTAAACAGTTATAGTAACCATAACCATGGCGTAACTTTCTAGAGTACTCGCTATTTAATCGAATTCCATGTTTTTACAATCTTCCCAATAATCGTGATTTTTGATTTTGTATAAACATATACATGACGTATTTAAAGAAGTTCCAGGACTTGCTACATTATTACAACTTATAAGCATTATTATAAGTTTACAATATTGTTATCGTCATTCGTTTGTGACCTGTGTTTGCGTCTGCATCTGCTTTTGCGATCAGATGTGTAAAATATGTATGATTTGTATTTTTATTATTTTTTTTGAATATTTTATTATTAATACATTTGATACTAAATCAATTACCTAATATATACTATTTATATTTTTAATTAATTATTTAATCTTAAACACAAAAACAAATTAAAAGTAGAATGATAAAATAAAAATATTAAGATTTAAAAAAAAAATTAATTTGCTTAAATAATTACTTTCGCCATGTTTTGACTAATCTGATAGGTAGTTAGGTAGGTTAGGGCGATGGACTCTTGTAGGGTTTAGTATAGGGACAACTAGTCCAGGTTCAATTCCCGAACTCAAAACAATTTAGTTTTTGCATTTTTTTCATATTTTTGCAGATACTTTTTAACCACAAAAATATAGTTATTTTAACTATAATAACTGGTTAATTCTACTATTCCTTATAGTTAAAATTTTAACTATAATTTTATAGTTGCATTTTTAACTACTATTTTATAGTTATTCTAACCATGTAGATTCAACTAATTCATTTTAGTATTCCCAACTATACATTTATTGTGTTACTATATTAACCTGAGATTATGGTTGAGTTAATCATTTATGTGGTTGTAACAACAATAATTTTTTTTCCGTGCATGTTGATTATGATTTAATTTTCGGATCAGCTAAAATACACAATTAAAGCCTATTTTAAATGTTATAATAGACGGTAGTGTCTAGTTATATTTATTATATTTCATCACAATATCATGATTTATTGATTAATATATTGTCACATACTTAATAATATGTATTGAATTTTTATATATATTGGTTATTTGATTTTTTTTCTTTTTTATTTAACTCGTTTATATCCGAGTACTATGTATAAACAACTTCAAACATTGTAATTGTATAAATTAAATTAATTATAGAATAACAAAATTTTATTATGGAAGTAATGTTTATTTTGGTGTGTAAATCACTAATATAGGTAGGTATATCCCAATAATAAATTGTATTGAGGCCACATATTATTATGTGATTTAACGTCATCGACAGTTGTTGTATCATACTCGGACGTACTCAGACGAGAAGCTTACGAGTATTACATGGACGCCATCTTGGCCAATACGTTTGGACAAACAAGTGATCATTTTTGCTGAATTATTGTCTGAAAGAAAAACAATAAATGCAGAAACATACAATTGGACTTGAAAAGAATATAGCTGGGGCAATTCAAAACAAACCATGTAGAATTTAAAAAAAGGGATTATGTATCTATATTTCCAAAGTTGAAATGCGTTTGGTTAAATGATTTTTAATAATATTAGAACATATTTTTGTGATTTTATTTTTTTAGTACCCGATATTGCGTTTTGTAATTTGGTTGAATAATTTTATTAATCCATATTGCACCTAACTTTGTCATACTAAAATTATCTTTAACTCTACGTGTGTGATTAAAATCTGACTGCCCTTTGAAGAAACACATAATATTTGATTTTGCTTCAAAGTTAAATTTTTGTATATTTATTGGTAAAATTTTATCTTTACCTTAATGCTTTTGATTTTTATATAACCTAACCTTAGTTGTTCGGCGTCAGTATTGTTGCTGGTGAATTAAAAACGGCCATTATGATGAGAGGTGGCGTGGTCAGATACTTATATAAATCACCTTGTTCCAAAAACTATAGTAGCATTCACAATAGTAACGTATTACTTCAAACAAGTAATTATGTTAAGACGAAATAGTAGGTGAATCAAAGAGGTCGAACTTGTCGTAGTAAGATGTTAGTAAATAGTGAAATTGTAACTTCTTAACACATCGGCTAGTTTATATTCGTACGGAAGTTCCTCTTTGATTGAGAAAACTATGTTTCAATATGTAAGATAGGATTATTAGATATGCAAG